GTTTTAGCTCTAGAAGTATCTGGTTAGAACTTTAAATCTGTTTCTTCAATTGATAAACTTGGTGATAAGACAGTCTCCAAAACTTCTAATTCTGAATAAACAGCTTATTCTGGGTTTAGAGCCCAGAAGAGAAGTTCAAACATAAGAACTGCTAACGCAAGCTCTTGAATAGAAGAGAATTAGTATTTGTTGGGGGGAAAAAATGACACATCAGGCAATGTGTAGATATTTTTGTAGATAAACTCTGTGTGCACAAGCTAAGTAACAAAAGGCACAGAGATGTTAAGTGATACCCTAGGTCACAGAACAAGCAGTGTCAGACCTAGAATTCATCTCAGCTTGTCTGACTCCAAAGGCTTTTTCCACTCCACTAGAAGTTCCCAACCTGACTGATTATAGTCAGCCAAAGGGAACAACATAAGTACAGATTATTGAGCCCCACACCAGATCTACCAGATTTACTGACTCAGAATCTATATGTGGTGAAAGGCAGGGAAATAGGTATTCTTGCAATCTTGCAAACCAGTATTCTTGCAAAGTCAGTCTAATGCCACTCAGGTGTGAGAATCCTGTACTGTACATACCACATATACTGTCTTCTGAAGAACAGGAGTAAGGTGATTAAAAACATACTTGTTCAATAATCCACCTGGCAGTAAAGTTAAGAATATGCTGGAAGTCTACTGTCTTGGATTAAAATGGCTGGTTTATTTGTCTGTCTCCCTAAGCAAATGGTATCTTTTTTCAGTGTTGCAGCTTTACTTTTGGTTTCCCCAGCATCTGGTACAGTGTCTGCCAAGTAGTTCCCACTCATAGTTTGTTTAATAAATGAGCACAAGAAGCTGGATAAACATTAAACCTTCAGCATACTCCGAAGTTTTGTCGCTTCCTGTTTATTCTTCCCGATATCTAGAAATGTTTCCTTAGTATATATAATGTGTCCTATACTATGCTAACTTCTAGAAGAGGGGCAGGAGATACAAAGTTCTCTGGAGAATATCTCCCTGCAAAGGGGAGAGTGCTGCAGAACATTAAGTATACAAAATAGAAGGAGGAGAGGAATTAAGGAGACTTTCCAGAAATCACTCTAGATTCATTTAGAGTTATCGTTTATAGCTGTCCTCTATAGAACGCTTGAGAAAGTGACTTGTGTTATACTATAGTTGCTGCACCCCCCACCAAATTCTTTCAATTTCTTGAAGAAACAAATTTAAAAGAAGTGATATCAGACAGAGTGGATTTCCCAACCACAACAGACTCAAACTAGAAATCAGTAACAGAGGTAACAGAAAAAAAAAAAAAACCAAACAAACCTGTAAAACACCTGGAAACTAAAAACGTATTTCTAAATAATCCACAGAAATAAGAGGAAATTTCAAGGAAAAAAAATACATGGAAATGAATGAAAATGAAAATACAACATATCAAAATATGAGGGACACAGCTGTAGTTAAGCCAAGAGGGAAATTCCTAGTACTAAATACACATATTAGAAAAGGGGAAAAGTCTCAAGTTAATAATCTAAACTTCCCACCTCAAGGACCCAGCAAAAGACAAAATAAATCCAAAGTAAGCAGAGGGGAGAAAATAATGTAGAAATCAATAAAACTGAAAACAAAAAAAAAAAAAAAAGAGAAAAATCAATGAAACAAAGAACTGATTTTCTTTGGACAAACTTCTAGCATGGACAAACTTCTAGCAAGATTGATGTGAGAGAGCGAGAGGCAGTGTGCACACACGTGTGCATACACCAATACTAGTAAGAAATGAGATAGGGCTACAGACTTTAGAATATATGTAAATTTCACAACCTAGAGGAAACAGTAAATTCTTCAAGAAACACGAACTGCTACAATTCACATAATATGAAAAAGCTCATTTGAATAGCTTAATAACTCCTATAAACTCAAATTTGTCCATTTAAAATTATCCCTCTCCCACCAAAAAGAGAGAAGAAAGAACTCTCCAGGCTCAGATGGTTTCAGTGGGGCTTCCATCAAACATTTAAAGAAGAATCAACACTAACTCTACATAACTTTGTAGAAAAAGAGGAGGAAACACTTTCCAATCCATTTACTGAAGCTAGTACGGCTAATACGAAAAACCAAACCATACGCGAAACCTACACGCTAATTTCTCTCATGAATACAGATGCAAAATTCTCAACCAAATATCAGGAAATATAAAAGTAGCATTTATTCCAATGATACAGGTGGGCCCAATATTTAAGTCAATCCATGTAATTAATATAACAGGCTAAAGAAAAATCACATGATTACACCATCCTCAGTTTTCAAACCTCTAAATGTTGAAATGTGCTAGACCTCAAGTCCTTTTCTTTTTACATCTATTCCCCCTATGACACCGGATCCCTTCCTTGAATTCCAGACTCATAAACCTACTTGCTGATGAGACAACTCTGCTTGGAATGGCATTTACAATTGGACATATTCAAATCTAAACTGCTCTTAGTCTCCAGATCAGCAATTTCCACAATTCAGTAAATGAAAACATTTTTATGGCTGCTTAGGCTAAAAGTCTTGGGGTCATATAAATATTTATATTTCTTTTGTGCTTCTTATGTAACTTGTCACCAAGTCCTGTTACCTCTTTTCTCTAAAATATCCCTTGAACCTGACCTTTTCTCATCACCTCTAACCTGATATGAGTAACAGCTGTCCAAGTGGTCTTCTGCTTCTACTCTTGCATCCTTACAATACACTACTTAGCCACAGTGCTGCTCCTTTTCTCAAAATCATCCAAAGTAATCTCATTTCATACAGAGTAACATTCAAAGTCCTCACTACTGTCTATAAATCCCCATGTGACGTGGTCACGTACTACTTTTCTGAGTTCATTTCCAGCCTTCTGGTTATTATCACTACAGCTTTTTTGTTTTCCTTGTTCTTCAAAAATATCAACAACCATCTGTCCTGAGGATTTTGCACACGGCTTCCCATTTGCCTGGAACAATACTCTACCACAAAAATATATGGTGTTCTTTCATTTTTTTCAGGGTTCTGATCAAATGTCGCTGTATCAGAGAGGCCTTCTTTGACCAGCATGTGTAACAGACTATCTGCTACGCATGCATTCCTCATCCCCTTTACCCTCCTTGCTTTTTTTTTTTTTTAAAGATTTATTTATTTATGTATACAAGCACTGGGTACAGTCAGAAGTGCAGAAGGGTGAGAGAATTCACCAGAGCCAGAGCAGGGAGCAGAACAGACAGACTGATGAAATTCACTGCTGAGGGGAGCAGCAGGTGTGGCAGAAGAGGTCTGCGTGCCAAGTGGGACCCTCACCGGTGGCCGGGGATCGAACAGGCACTGCAGAGGCTGCAGGCAGCTTCACAGCCCAGCGCTCAACCGCTGCACCACCGGGGAGCCCCAGCCCTCCTTGCTTTTTATTTAAGGCATGCATCACTTTCTGACTCATTTTATACTTGCATATGTTTCTCTACTTTCCCCTATAAAAGGCAAGCCTCCAAGGACATGGACTCTGTTTGCTTAGAATCTGTCTCTGGAGTGAAGAATTTGGGGCCAGACATCATATAACCTTGATTTGAATCCTGGCTCTGTCATTTCTAACTATATCTCAGTAACCATGGACAGGTTAGCCACCATGTTTTATGTTTTCTGATCGATCAAATAATGATAACAATCCCCATGCAATAGGATTGTTGTAAGGATTAAATAACAAATTCATAAACTAAAACCACAATACATAAAAAATAATGTGTTTAATACACAGTAACTTGCTATATAAAGTACTTGCTCAGTAGATTATATGTCAATGACAAAGTTCTGAGAAATGGGCACTAGGAGGACTTTGTTGTGTGAATGTCATGAGTGTAACTTACATGTCATGGAATGTACTTCCCAGACCTAGGTGGTAAGTTATTTATAGGGATTACTGTTGCATTACATGTGGTACATGACTGTATGGTGACAGAAAGGTGATCTAAAGCTGGACTCAAATCCTTAGGTTATAATTATGATTAGACATTGACTGTGATTTTGAGCCGTTCACCTCTTTTGTGTTAATCTACTCAAATAGCTATAAATTGCCTGCTATGGTAAAAGAGGCCAGTTAAGATGCAGTCCTCCCCTCCAATCTTAGTTATGTGATCTTGTGTAGGTCACTTAACCTCTCTGAGCCTGTTTCCTTATTTGCCAAAAGGGAATAACACAACACACATCTCACAGCTTTGTTACAGGATTATATGATTTACTATGTGAAAACCTGTCTAGCTCATTATGATGATTTTAGTCTGGAGGAGAGGTGAACTAGTATGTTGTGCACTAAGACCCAAAACAGGCTCCTAAACCCCCTGCCCTGTAACACTAATTGGAGTCTGCCAACAACTGGGAAGTGCTTATGTCTGTATGCCCCTATGTCACTCCCACATTAGTTAGAATGGCAAATTTTCTCTGCTGGTTTGATAAACTGGAAGTTGAAACTCAAAAAAAAAAAAAAAAAATTGGCTAAGGGATCAGAGTCGCAAATAGTGTTTCTTAAAGGAGGTCAGTGGACTTATAGGGAGGGTGAGATAACAGTCAGCTAGATCCCCCCCCCCATAAGGTAAAGGAAACACAGAATTCCCTGAAAGAAGCAACCAAAGAACCACCCAGAGTACAAATGTGTGTTTCATGGAGGTGTTGTCGCAAACTAAAGATCAGAAATGGACATTAACGGGCGAACCTGGAGGCCAAGAGGGGGCCCACCAGGTGAGAAGGGGGACGTTACCTTTGGATAAAGAACTGCAAAGGCAAGGCGTGAAAAGGGCACGTGGGCAGCTTGGCAGAATCCTAAAGCAGCTTTGGGGAGGTGGCTCTAGATCATGTATGGATTAAGAGTGCGATCTGGGGCCTGCCAGGTGAGGGAGGAAGCTCCCCACCTCCATACCCGGCTCATGAGCTCTCCGTCTGTGTCCCCTCAAGACCCCACTCTAAGGGCCCCGGGTTACTGGGCTCCCTCTTCACTCCCGCCACTCTTACCTCGTCTTCCAGTCTTTCCCTCACAGTCCCGCCTCCTCCTCCCTGCCGGAAGTGACGCACTAACTAGTGCGCCGTACCGCGCCAGAAAGGTTCTGCAGGAGCGGGAGAAAGGATTCCAGGAGACTTACTGCGCCGGCGTGCCGGCGCGAGCGGTCAAAGCGCCTTCCGGAGACCGCCGAACTGCGCTCATTTCCCAGTGTGTAGCTTTCGAAGTGCCCTGAGCGAGGCTCAGGGAGGCCGCCGCCACTGGAGGGTATTTTTTCTACAGCTCTGGTACCTCCCAGTGGTCTGCTACTCCGGTCCTTGCCCTTTGACCTCGCTCTCGCGGCGGGGTGAGAGGTCGGTGGCCATCTTGTGGCGGCGGCGCGGGCGGCTGTTACTGCGGAGACCCATCCCCTCCCCCCGGGGCCCCCCTCCCGACGGCCTGACAGTCAGTAAGGAGTCCCTCGGGCCGTCTGGTGAGGCCTCGGCCTCGTGCCGTCGCTCTTCCCGCCGCACTGGGTGGCTCAGGCCGTTCCTTGCAGGGCTTTACCGCCGCCACCATGTCCTCCTTCTCCGAGTCGGCGCTGGAAAAGAAGCTCTCGGAGCTGAGCAACTCTCAGCAGAGCGTGCAGACCCTGTCCCTGTGGCTCATCCACCACCGCAAGCACGCGGGACCCATCGTCTCGGTGTGGCACCGTGAACTTCGCAAAGGTAAACAACCCCCATCCCACCCTCTTGGACCGTCCTCGGAGTTTTGCTCTCCTCCACCCACTCTCCTGTCCCTTCTAGCTTCTTAAGGGAGCCTTGCTTTCCAGACTCGGGAATCTGATTGCTTTTGTGAGGTTGGAAACAGTGTTTCCCACTTCTTGGAGAAGGCAACAGAAGCTAGGAAAGCTTTAAGGTACTTCTTGTCTGAGGTTCCTCAGGTCAGGGCTGGGGCGCACAGACTTCAGTACACCCAGCCATTTTCCTCCTGACTTCCTGATGCCTATGACCACTATCGTCTTGGTAGCATTCAGCGCCTTCTGGAGAGTACTGGCCCTAACCTGTTGTGTGCCGTGGGGATTTGGCGTAAGAGCCAGTGGACTGGAGTAAGACTCTAGCCACTTAACAGCTGAGTGATACTGGGCAAGTTTCTTCATTTCTCTGCCTCTGTTTTCTGATGTGTTAAATGAGGACAATGATGTTTGCCACTTACAGAACCTCTATTCTGTGCCAGTGACTATGCTAAGACCTTTGCAAGCAGGCACTCTTCAGAACTCCCCTTGAAACGAGTAGTTACTTTATAAATTTTAGAGCGGTAAAGAGGCCCCACACCTGCAATTGACTTCTCAAGCTCCTCTTCTCATACAACTTTCATTGATTGTAGACCGTGCACAGAATATGGCAGGATACAAGCTCATCCTGCTGCATGTGCCAGGCCCTGAATTGGGCCCTGGATTGGGCGTTTGTTAGCACGTTGACTTCAGAGACCAGCTGCCTTCAATTTAAGACTGGTTTTGCCATTTAACCATGCCATTTTGACATTTTGCCATCTTACTCCACTTCAATGACTGTCCCTCTGTTATCTGTAACAAAGAAATGATGATAATTGATATTTCCTCTGCCTTCATCATATACCTGGTACAGTACTGATGTCTTTATTTATGTTGTCATTTTTCAAATTCTCAGAGCCCTTGGTGTAGGAACTTCATAGAGGAGGAAAAACTGGCTCAAACAGGTTGTGGTGAGGAGTAAACAGGGTAATCCACATGGTGTCAGGCACAGTATAGACATTCAGTAAATCATGGGGAGATGGGAACACTGATTATACAGCTTAAGGCACGGGCGTTTGCCTTCAAGTTGCTTAACTGATGGGGAAAGGTGGGCACCTGCACATGTCTGAAATCCAAGTGAGTTCCATAGCAAAAAGCTGAGGAAATGAAGCTTAGTGCTGCTTTGGACAGCCTGTATGCGGTAGGCCTTTTACTTAGCATGGGAAGGAACTTTGCTATGGGGATGTCATCTTTTTTTTAGGAATAAGGTGTTTATTCCTTATTTTAAGGGATAAGGAATAACAGATGAGGAAACTAAAGTGGCTAAGTGGAATTTTCAGGCCCTCAGAACTGGTGAGTCTCAGACTACATCAGTCTGGCAAATACCAACATGCAGTCTTCTTTTAGGAGACCCAGTTCTGACCCTCTAGAAGAGACTGCTAATAAAGTTACAGATTAAGTGCTTTGTTCGGGATCATTACAACCGAGACATGAACCGAGAGCTCTCTGATGCTGCTGGAACTTGTTCTTCCAAGTACCCAGTGCCTCAGCGCACTTAATACATGAAGGTGATCATCTGACTCCAACTAAACTTGGAGTACTTTTGTTTATTAGAATGAATCACTGCTATGCACCCTGCCCTATACCATTGTAACATTTATTTAATTTTTACTAGTTACATCTTTTTTTTACTAGATTGTGTTTTGTGGAAGAAACTAGGCCTTTTTCTCTGTAACACAGCATTTGATGTGGTGCCTATTACACAGTTAAAAATTATTTTAGGAATCAAATTGTGGTCTGATATTTTCATGGTCCCTAGAGCCTGTGTAGTATAACTTTCTGTGATGGTTGAAATGTTTTATATGGCCCAACAAGGTGGGCCACTGCCATGAGCAGTTGAAATGTGTGACTAAGGAACAAAAGTTTTAAGTAAATGCAATTGAAAATTCAGTTCCCAAATTTTGCTAGCCACAATTTAAGTGTTCACTAGCGACTGTATGCGTCGCTGCCCTATTGTACAGTGTAGATTTAGAGGATACTCTTCCAAGCATCAATATATATCTTCATAATACTCAGGTTTCCTTCATGAATTGAAAATGCTCCCATGCTAACATGGAGAAAGATTTTGTGCCCTGATGTTTGTGTCAACTAGCCCTTTAGTTTCTAGACTGCCCAAGTTTTTAAAAGTGGACATTTCTATCTGTGGTCAAGTCATTTCCCTATTTTAGATATTTACAGATGGCTGACTTGCCTTCAAGGTATTTACAGCAAAATCTAGTTTTTTTGCTTACAGATTATTCTTCTTGATCTGTTATTCAGTTTCTATTTTCAAAGGAGTAATTCTTAATTTTTCTCTTTGGGCTCTATTTTAGGTAAACCTTTTCCCCTTTATGGATCAGTTTGGTGTAAAAAGCTCTTGGATGAACATTTTTTAGTAGTTTTAAAAAATGTTTTATCTATTATAAGATAAATAGCCCTTTTTTCAAAATTACTTTTCTGGATGTCAAAACCAGCCAGACAAGTGAAAATTTTTCATCAGCTAGTTATTTAAACTTTACTCAATTAACTATTTCAAACAGTTTGGAATTGGCATAAGTGGAGGGTGAAAGGATTTATTTTATCATAGTGGAAAGACATCTGAATAAATGAGTTGTCACCAAGGGCTAGAGTGTAGGGCATATGTATTGTGTGCATTATGACTATATTCAAGTGCTCTAGGCTTTTGTCATAGCACCTATACATACATGGTGCTGATGTCCACTATTCAGATGCTGGGTATGGATGGGTACATTTTATCTTAAATAAGTCCTCATTGACAGGTTTGAGGATGATGTAAATGTATTGATGTTGTGGATAGTAAAACCATGGCTCTTTAGCCCCTTACCTATGGTGTTTATAATACTGAAAAATGTACCACGTTTTATAGAAATGTCAAAATTGATTTTTTTACAAAATGGATTTTCGGTTTTTTGAACAAAGTATATGGAACTTGTAAAACTTAAGTTGATCAGATTTTCTTTTTTACTTTTGAAAGGTGTACTAACTTTTTTGGCATTATAGACTTGGTAGTTTTCCTTATCATAAAATCTCAGAACAAGATTTGCTTTAAAAAAAAAACCCATAAAGCCTTTTGCTAAAAAGATAAACTTGTAGCAGGAGTATAGAATACTGTAACTATTGACACTTTATTCTGCTTTTGAGTAATAATTAGAAAAGATAAAGATAGTTCCAAGTTTTCAATATTCTCATCAGTTGGCCATCTAAACTAGGTTATTAACAAAAGGTTTATGCAGTTCCAGATAGTCATATTTAATTTTATGAGCACTTTGAGTTGTCATTTTAAGCTATAATGTGCTTTAACAATTTTGTTTTTTAACTTGATTTATTCTTCTGTAGCTGCATTTTAAAATGTCAGATCTTATGCCTGCTGTGTTAGAATTTATACGTGCTGTGTGGATTGCAAAAGAAACAAGTGGTTTCTGAAAGGAATAGAGCAAACATTGGTTATATTCAGGTGTGTAAGGTTGACATAGGTCCTACTTGAATTTTTAAGTACTTTAGTAGTGGAAAAAATTAAGTGTTTTGAGCTATTTGATTATGTTCTTATTTATTTCCTAAAGAAAACTGGGACCAAAAATGGTAGTGATGTAACATTATGGTTTATAAGTTATGTGCATGGAAGCCAGGAAATTCAGTAATGTTCCCCCAAGCAACTTTAACTTACACATACTGCATGAGGTTTTTATGGTTTAATATGTGACCATATAGAGTAATAGGAAATACTACTTTTAGTATGTATAAGAGAGAAGAATTATGGTTTTTGTGGTAGCCATAATTTTACATATCCAGATTTCAGACGTGTAAATTTTCAGTAATAAAGTAGCACTAATGTATATTTGTATTTGAGCTAAATATCCATTTGGTACATCTAGAGATTCCTCTGCATTGTAGAATTAGTGTTATTGATTAATTATGACTATTGAAATGTTCGAAGAGAAATTTCAGTTGAGGAGCATAAATTGCAAGAATCTGTTTTAAAGTTGAAATCTAACTCAAGTCTGTCTTTCTGCAGTTTTTGATAATTACCAGTGAGTTAGAAATGTTCATCTTTGCAATAGAATAAATAAAAATAATGGATTTAACAGGTCTTCTTGAGAATATTAACTTTATCCTTTAGGAATTTTCTTTGGATTATCTTCATTTTTACTGTCAATTAATTACTCTAATTAAAATAACACAGAAATGAAGATGGCCCATTCTTGTTTTTGTTTTTTTCCACCTAAAGTTGTTCTCAAACCTGTTTTGTTGGAGGCCTACAAAAGTTCTTTAGGTTGTTTGTTCAAACATATAGCAGTCTTGTCCTCAAGTAGGTAATGCTTGTCTTAATGTTCTTTAGGAGTAGCTGAGGGCAAAAGAATTATGAATTGAGAATTTCCTTGGTGTAAGTTAAATTATGTTCTTTTCTTTTTTCCCCAGCCAAATCAAATAGAAAGCTTACTTTTCTGTACTTAGCGAATGATGTCATCCAAAACAGTAAAAGGAAAGGACCTGAATTCACTAGAGAATTTGAATCTGTCCTTGTGGATGCTTTTTCTCATGTTGCCAGGTATGTTGTCTTTTTTTTTTTTTTTTTCCTTTTCATTTTATTTTGTTTTTAAATGCATTGCCTTTTCCTCCTTTTTTGTTCTTTTTCCTTTTCTGTGATAGCTTTTGCAAATTGAATTTGCACTTGTCAGAGGTGTATTTTACAGTGTGTTGCATAGGCCAAATTACGGTTTTATGTATTGCTGGGCCTTAAGAACCATTGCTGGGCCTTAACATATGTAAACCTTTTGCTACCTTAAAGGGATTCTGTTTAGTATTTTAAGCATATCTTTACCCCTCATTTATTGACTTCATTTCTTGAATATGGTATTTTCCTTGACTTGACTGAGTTGTCCCATTAGTTTATGGTAAAAATCAAAGCTAATAGTTCAAGGAAACCTTCCAGTAACAATGCCTTAAGAGCAAGAAATTAGTTGCTTTGCCTTCATTTTTACTTCTTTCTGGATGTCTAGATATCTAATTTACTAAAAATAGTAGTCGTAGCTGCAGAGATAGTAATTAGTAGTGTGGAAAGTAGGTATTTGCTCTGGGTATATCATCTTAAGTCTCTGTCACCATTGTGTTTTGTGACAGACGACTGGAACATAGAGTGCGCTTGTAGCTAATATCACAAAAAGCATACATTTGATTAAAAGTAGACTAAATCATTTTTATTCATTTAGAAACAACCAGATTTTCTATAGATACAAGTTAGTTGCCCAGAGGAGCAAAGAAAAACTATTTTTCATCAGAATATTACTAAGTAAACATATAAAAGTAAAAATCCTTGCGAAAGGATAATGAGAAAGGGAATAAGGAACCAGGCAGGTTAAACACAAATTGTTCTAGGGTCTAAAGTAGTGTCAGGACCTACACAAATTGTTCTAGTATCAGGACCTCTATGTGAAAAATAAGTCTAGCATTCCATGAAAGATTGGAAAAGGTTGAAGAAATAAAATGAGAAATCCAAAAAAAGGGGACATCTAAACTCTAGAGATGGAAATGGGATTTTTGTTTGTCAGCTACATTTATTGACGTTTTCTTTTGATGAACATGGACACTGAAAAAGCTGACTGTGTTATTACTTAGAAAAATACTGTCTTTGTAAACTTGGAACAGATTTCTAGAGAACTAACTGAAACTGGAGAGTGGCACTTTCTCATCTTGAGATTTAGTTCAGTTCTTAAACTTTGGATCCTGTTTGGGTATTACATACAGCATCCCCATGTATCTAAGCTCCCTCCCTCACCATTATTAGAACAGAATATCCACCAGCCACTTTTCAGTCCTAACTCACCTCATCGATGGTTAAGAAATGCTCTTATCATGGTTTTTCTGTAGCCAATTGATGTACAGAGACAGTTGACTCATATTGACTAGGGAATATCTTTATGATCATTTCCTACATGCTCAAATCCCCCCCCCCCCACACAAACACATCAAACCCAGTTCTCTCAATCAGAAAGCTGCTGAGGTCATAAATTAAATTGATTTGAATAGCAGTTTAATTAACCAGACGTGACTATATTTCCCACGCAAAAACCTTGTTTTCTTCTCACTTTGGACATAGTTGTGCATTTTATTTCTCCTTCAGAATGTAGTTGAGTGACTTTTGAGCTATGTGCTGTTCTAGACAGTAGAGAGGCAGCAGTGAACAAGGCAAGTGAGGACAAATAAATAAGATATTTTCAGAGAGTGATAATGTGAATGAATGATGTTCTGGAGTGGGATCTCTCATAGACTGGTAAGGAAGGTATCTCTTTTAAGGAATGACATTTGAGGTTGTCATGCAAAGTAGGAACAACTATTAAGAAGAACCTAAGGTAGAAATAATCTTGGCATGTTAGGATTGGAATGAATACCAGTGTGGTTTGAACTCAGTGAGCAAGGGTAAAAGTAGCATCCACATGAAATCAGAGAGGTAGATGATACCAGTCTTTGTGCCCTGTAAGCCTTGGAAGAGTTCAGATTTTGTTTTGATAGGATGCCTGTGAAGAGTTTTAATGAGGGAATGACACATTCCAAATATTTTTTAAAAAATCCATCTGGCTTGGTATGGAGAATGAGTTATAAAGACCAAGATAAGTGCAGGGACATGAATTTGGAGGGTTTTTCTGTAGTACGAGCTAGAGATGGCATTGTCTTAGACTCACAAGCAGCAAGAAGAAAATAGTTTATTTAGAATGCTTGATTTGTGGTTGTATTTGTTACACACACAACCCTTGTCCATCCATCTTCCCCTCCCACCCCCGCCCCAACCGCTAGGGTTTGTAGGGGTTGAATGGGAACTAGTAGAGAGGGAAAAGAGAAATCAAAGATGATTTCTAGGTTTATGACAAGTGGATGGGTATCACTTACTGAGATGAAGCTTGGGGGAAAATATAGTAGAGAAAATCAAGAGTTTTGTTTTGGCCACGTTAAATATGAGATGGCTTGTGGATATTCCATGTGGCAGTGCCAGATAAGGCAGATAGATGAAATAGTCTGAAGTTCAGGAGGGAATTAATTTCTAGAGACAAATTATCAACATGTATATATTTATTGTGTGTTGTGGACTACTTACTCCCAGGTTTAGTAACTTGCGAGGAAGACTCATACGACTCAGTGTACAGTCCTACTCATGGCTATGATTTATTACAGGCAAAATCTGCAAAGGGAAAGGACTCGTAGACTTAAGTCCAGAGGAGACCAAATATAAGCTTCCAAGAGTTTGCTCACTGAGGAAGCATTGGTGGTTCAGTAGTAGAATTCTCACCTCCCAAGAGTTTTCACACAATGGGATTGCACAAGACATGCTTGATTTCTCTAGCATTGAATTGTGATAGTGCGTGTCAAGTGTTATCTACATGGCAAACTCATTAGACATTCAGTGCCCAGGGTTTTATTGGGGTTGGTCATATAGAACCTCTCTGCTATAAATTGCATACACCCAGAAAGAAAGCAGGTGTTCAGCATAAGCCATGTTGTATGGACAAATGGTTTAGGCACCACCCTTATAAGTTATGAAAGACCAGGAACACTCAAATCCAGGTTCCCAGATGCCAGCTCTGGGTCATCCTTGTGAGCAGCAGTCCCAGATTTGCTATGTTAACTCTTCTCTACACAACTGCAAAGAAACATTTCTGTGCCACCTTTATATGAATTGCTTTTGGAAGTACTGGGGTTACTTCCAACGTTAACTGCAGAGGAAGGAAAGTCCTCCAAGCTGGCTAGGCAAGGCCTCAAGTATCTAGCTGACACTCCAAGCCACTATTCTGTATGTTTATAATACACACTTTCTTGTTTTAGATCAATTGTGCAGTGATTGAATTTATAATTAATCAGAATTAAAATACTAAGTTTTGTTCAGCATAATAAGTTATGTATGTAATTATCATTTTCCAATTTATTCATTGGTTAATGGCAAAGATTTTTTTTGATGTTTTTCACTTAATGATTTCTCAATTTAGAGCTGAGTTAGTACAGCCTGAAAAGATAATTTCTTCTATTATAAAACTACTTTATTGCTTTAGTTGTAGCCAGTCCCAGGTGCTACAGAAATTTCCAGTTAGTTGGAGCAATTTATGGCAAACCTCATCAGTAAAAAGATTTTTTGACTGTTGTATTTGTAACTTTGAAACTTATCTGTCAAAACCTTGATTCACTATAGTGTTCACGGAAGGCCTATCCTGGTTATTATATTCACCAATTAAACTGGTACCTCTTTGTGACTTAGCCTTTAATGGTGAAAACCTTTTGAAAAGTGTCTTTTGGTTATAACAGGTTTGAGTGACAATTCCCATTTTATAGTAATGTGGCTGAAAGAATACTCAAAATCAGTTTTATTCTTGAATCACAAATATCCATAGGAGTGGTGGGTGGGTTGGTGTTCTGCCTTTCGTAAGTCTTTAATAAGAATTTGTGTCATGATGGTTTCATTTCTTAAGTGAGCAGAGAATTTGTAGAGAACAGATTTTATGTTAAAAAGTACCAACCAGCTAACTAAATTTGATTAGTTGTCATTTGGTTATACTAGTTATAATGACTTCATTTTCTGAAACCATACAATTGAACACATGAGGGATTTTCCATTCCTTTTCAGGATAAATTCCGCATGTTTAATGGATATTCAGCACCCTCTCTAATCTCACGCCACTCTATCCAGATTTTTCTGCTATTTCCACACATTCCCCATATATTTTAGTCACTTGAATTACCCACAATTCTTCCTCTTCACCTTGCTCTATTTTGGGGGTTCCATTCAAAAAAGCTATGTAGTATGAGCAAAGGTATAGACACAAAGGGAGTAAGTTCTGAGTAGAAAATTCATATGGTTGAGTTGCTCAGTGTGAAGCACCAGGTAATACATGGAAAGGATAGAAAGGGCCACTGAGTCAAACTCTTGAGGTCAGAACCTAGCCTTATTTGTATTCCAAGAACAATATCCCTAAACCTTATTGCATGAGTAGGTGAGTGCTTTAGTTAATGTCTGACATGAAAGACCTTGATGTAGTAAGATGGTTGTTGAAAGTTCCTAGATATATGGCCTGCTGAAACTTACCTAAATTTTTCATGAGAGATTACAATTGGGTGTTTATTGGACTTGTTCTATAGCTTCTAGCAGTAGGGGGAAAGGACACAGCTCCCTCCCCCTGTTAAAATGGAAAGATAGTGTAAACAACAAGCAAGCTCAGTAGCATTTCAGAAGATAATTGTGTGGAGAAAAATTAAGTAGGGGCCAGAGGTGTAATTTGAATAGGATAAGATTAGGAAGGACTCACTGATGACACACCTGAAGGAGAAGAGTGAATGAGCCAGGCTGCCACTTGAAGACATGTGGTTCCAGGCAAGGTGAGGGCCAGGGTGCTTTTGGAGAGGAAAGAAGAGGAAAGGGGTAGGAGATGAGGTCAGAAGTAATGAGCTGGGCTGAGAAAGGCTTGGTAGGCTTTTATTCTGAGGGCGAACAGGAGGAACCACTGAAAGTTCTGAGTGAACGAGTGCCATGACCTGCCTTAACACAGCAGCTCAAGTTATCTTTTTTAAACTAGAGGATAGATGGTAGGAGGACTAGATGGAAACAGGAAACCCAGTAACAAGGCTTTTGCAGTGATCCGGTAAGAGAAGTTAGTGGCTAAAACCAGATTGATAGCAGAGGAAGGGAGGAGAAGTAATTTTCTTCTAGATATATTTTAAAGGGTAGCAAACACGTTTTTACCACAGATACCAAATAATTTTGTTTTATGAGCTTTTGCTGGAATTTTTTGCCTAGCCCTCACCTTTGACTGAAAAGAAAAAAAGATTTTTAAAAAATAATTTTTATGTGCTTTGGTTTAGTGCTTTGAACCTCCCTCCCCAATTTGGTGAAATTTGCTGCTAATGATTCATAAGTAAGACAGCCTGGCCAGGTTAGCCGGGAACTCATCTCATTTTGTTAACCTAAATTTTGTAATAGTCAGGGCTGTTGGGGGTATAAAATCTCCATGTCAGTGAAATTGGCATAATTATTTTCTTGAAGTTCCTGTTAAAAACTTTGATTATGTTACTAAGATATCAGAGTGTCCCCTTCTTGTTTAAAGTCATTCACTGTAAGATCATTGACATCTAGACAGCCTCGAAAAACAGAACAATTCATAGTAACACGGTGGATGGTGAAGACGTTTGTTTTCTTTTTCAGAAAGTCTTCACTCATTCTTCCAGCATGCTCTAGTAGTTTATGGTCAGCAATTGCTTCATACTGAGCACTACTTATATCATTAAAAGATTCTGTTTTAAGACTGTATGGTATGCCAGGAGGGAAAAACAAACTAGTTTCTGTCAGATATAAATGACAAAGGACTTTGTTGTGCTCAGTGTGAATAAGATGATCTGTTAGACACCCTTGTGTGAACATGGAACACAGACCTAGCCCAGAATTAAAATATCATGAAGAAGTTAATTTAAAATTGAGGTCACTCCTGACATGTATGTGTGTATGAGTATGTTTATACATATTAGAGGTGTTGGTGTCTTAGCATTAAGTTGCAGTGAATTTATTCCCCACTTTAAATGTTTTTAAACATTTTTTTCTATTAAGTTTTGGCCTACCTTAATTTTCAATAGAATGTTTGGCACTAGATGTCAGTTAAAGTCTTCTTAAAAAGCAAACTGTCCCAATTAATAATGGTCAGTTTTTTATGATTCTTTGTCTATAAAAATCAACCATTGGCTTTTTTTGCCCTATTTGTCCCATCTTTCAAAGGTGTGTTAAAAGACACAGATTACTTCTATAAAATAATACCTTTCTCTTCTGTATGTGCCACAGGAGGAAAGTAATTTCTGGTCAGGTTTTGGGTGTCCATTTATCACAATTTGTACCTTATTCTTCTGTTTTTAAATATGTAAATCTTTTAGTCAGTTTTTTTTTTTTTTTTTAAGTAGCTCTGTCCTAATTAAAAACAAAAAATCTTAAGCTTATATATATCTTTTCATCTTTTCTGGGCAGAGAGGCAGATGAAGGCTGTAAAAAACCTTTAGAAAGATTGCTGAACATCTGGCAAGAAAGAAGTGTGTATGGCGGCGAGTTCATACAGCAGCTGAAGCTGTCTATGGAGGACTCCAAGAGCCCTCCCCCCAAAGGTAGAAACATCACCACATGTTTACAGCTCTTGGTCTTTGCCTACTTTCGAATCAAATATGAAAAGCTGCAGTGGGGGTTGCTGTGAACCACCAGCGATTATATGATTCTTCAGAGAGAGATGATCATAAATGATGGTGAGAATTTATGTAGTGCTCACAGCGTGTAAGCCTGGTTCTAGTATTCATGCTATTCATCATCTCACACCCCCTTTTATTCTGTATTCTCTTTGACCCTCTTCTGCCTTTCAGAGACTCCTTGCACAACGGAAAAGTATAGTAAAGTTGTTGAGAGTTGTGGGGAAATAGGAAGTACTCTACACTAAGATTTTGTCCTAGCCCTGTCACTAACTACAGGAATTTGGAGAAGCCCCTTAGCCCTTTCAAACTTGGTTTCATGAAATTTTGATGTGGTTTTGGAATATACTTTTGATAATATGGTTGTCAGCTTGCTGTCTAAAATTGATTTTGTTCTTCAGCATAGAAGTATGTGCATGTGTATGTGTGAATTTTTACCAAGACCCTCTAAAGGGCTCATGTTATTTTATTTATTTATTTTTTTCTTTTAAAGAGAAGTAAGATCAAATGTTGGTTCTTTGGCTTCTGGTTACTTGCAGTTTAATTCTCACTGGCATGGCATGTCTCTGAACTATAGATCTGATCTGATCACACACATGCTCACTGCCTGGAGGATCAAGTCCAAGTACTAATGTCGTATTTAGGACCCTAAATAATCTGAACTCATCTGCTTTTTTCCAGTTTCTTTTGCCATCCCCACACCATATTCTTTGGCCATACTGAATTACCAGTGATTTCCCCTATGGATGCTGCATTGGCACCCCTTTCTTTGCATTTGCTATTACTTCTGCCTGAAATGTCCTTTTTCTACTTTCACTGTGTGCTAAACTCATTCTTCAAGCTTGCTGCTCTCATTCTGATGTCTTTCCCAGCTTGTTTAGGCACAGGCAACCATTCCCTCCATGTTCCTCTGGTACTTTGTACTTGCCTCTGCTATAGAACTTAATATCATTCATTCAGTAACTCCTTATCATGCCCCTATCATGATCTCTTCCAGCTCTGAGTTCATATGCATTTTATGGTGGAGTAACTTTCCTGTGAAACTCAAGGTTAAAGGCTTTCTAAGAATGATGTACGTGCTTTTTGGGGTAACCCCAGTGGTAGCTCCTGAAAAGCAAGTTGTTTCCTACTTTGGATTCTTATAGTGTCTATATTGTATCTTTTGGAGGTATTCTGCACAGAGTTGGGGAATTATCCAGCAGTCTTTTCTTTACTCTGCCTTAGAGTTCATTTGTAAACAGTGCTGATTTTTTTTTTTAAATACCTCTGGGCAAGTGGGAAAGCGCTGAAAGATGATGTTTGAAGCTAAATGTTGAATTTCAATTCAACAGGCATTTGCTGGACATGTGCTTTGAGTAAACAGCCATGCTAGGTGCTGTAGGGAAATAGAGAGGAGTAAGAAATAATTCTGTATTCAGAGAGCAGTCAGACAAATTGGGGGATTTGTGGCAGTGGTAGATTTGAAAATATCTCCATTGGGCTTCTGATTTTTTTTAAGCTTCTAGATAATAGCAGCAACAGAGGTGCTGTTCTATACGCAGGGTAATGCTAATCTGAAGAAGATAATTTTTCTTTCTCTATTCTGTAAAGATGAAAACACGTACCAGAAGGTTCCAATGTTTTTATTAGTCCCAGTTAACTCTCTCTTCTCACTTTCTTTTTCAAACTTGAGTTATGAGAATATTTTACCACAATCCTTTCAAAATATCGATGAGTTCCCCAGAAATTTATTTCCAAATTTAAATAGCCCCTTTATATTTCAACTTTGGTTCATGAATAATTCTTTGTCTTCAGACAACTTTAGTGCTTACCTTTAAAATAAAAACTTTCATGGTTTTACTTATAGGAGGAATATAGGGGAGCCCAATAAGGGATCAGGAAAAAAATAATAACAGTAAATAAAATGCCAAAATTAACAGGCAACTATAAATCAGAGACAATCTGTAGGGGAGGAGTGGGGAGAGGGGTCAAAATGGGGGAGGAAAGACCACAAGGGACTATGGTGAGGGTGCACAGGTGAACTGGTGGTGGGAATTGAATGGGGACTACACCTGAAAGGAGAAAGAAAACATTGTACCAAAATAAACAATGATGCAAAATATATATAAATAAATAAATTATAAAAGAGATAAAAACTTTCCTGTGGAACTTTGACAGTTCTGACATTGGAGAGTGTAGTGCATGGACTTGGGAATTTTGTTTGGGAATTAGGTATTTCTTGAGTTTATATACCTGTCTTCCAGGTGCAAGACCCCTGTATTCTAAAGTTGTCTCTGTTTTTAGGAATATTCAAACTGTTTGACTGACTGGAAAATCACACATGGCTCACATAGTATCTTACTGCAGGATTTAGAAAGGAATCATACAAAGGAAATAGCATTTATTGAGCACCTCTTGGGCACCAGCTTCTCTGCTGGCTCCTTTTCATGTTAATTTATTTTAGCTCCTTTCAGCTACTCTCTGAATTTGGTATTTTCATGTTTCAGGTGAAGATATTTAGAGTTGAAAGGGTATAATAGTAATTTTTTCCAAGTAGATATGATTGGTAAGTGGGAAATTCAAAACCAGTTCTAAAAGACTTTAAAGCCTGTGTTCCTCACACCATACTGTTACTGAAACTAAGAGTGTGTGGATTCAGTAGACTTGAATTAGGGTATGAATGAATAAGCAGGTTCCCCAACTTTCCTGGCCCCAGCATATTAATTTTGCTATTCAAAGCAAGACTTTAAAATCAGACTTCCAGATTATGAATCCTAACTCTGTTAATTCCAAGCTGTGTGACCTTAGCACTGCATTTTTCTTCTTTGAGCCTCCAGGTGCTCACTGTGTAGTAATATGACTGCTAAAAGTAGTCTTTCATAAAGTGAAAATAACTCAAACTATAAGTAAAATGTTATTAATGGAGCGATGATGTATTCTAATGTCTAATATTCTGAGTTTATAAACTAGTAGCAAAAGAAGGGGGAGATTTGTTTAGTATATTTTGTCCCCTAGATTTTTGTCCCCTAGATGCAAGATTGGAGAGCATAGTAGTTAAGAGCATAGACTCTAGGTCCAGTTTTCCCAGGGTTCAAGCCTGGACCTGGCCACTCATTTCAGTGGATGATCTTTCAGAAACGTGCCTCAAGTGCTGACCTTTGTTTGTTGTGGATCTTTCCTATTCACAGGTAAACTTAAATGTTCTTCAAAAAGTTTCTTTCCTGGGCCTCCCCGGTGGTGCAGTGGGTTGAATGCAGTGCTGTGAAGCTGTCTGCAGCCTCTGCAGCTCTGGTTTGATTCCCGGCCAGCCAGGGAGATACCCACATGGCACAGCAGACCTCTCCTGTCTCGCCTGCTGCTTCCCTCAGCAGTGTTTTCGGTCCGTCTGCCTGTTCTGCTCCCCACTCTGTCTCTGGTGAATTCTCTCACCCTCCCACACCTCTGGCCTGTACCCCAGTTCTTGTATAAAAATAAATATTTAAAAAAAATTTCCCCCCCCTTATTTTTTAGGACTGGAGAAAAGGAGGGAGCAGTTGTAACAATATTTTCTGATTCTTTTCTCAATTTAAAAATAATATAAAAATGTCAGTTATACCTCAAATTAAAAAAAATACTAAAGTGAAGTAGTATAAAATCTGTGAAATATTTAAAAATCCCACCCACTCGGAGTATTTATAATGGAGCGAGGTAACTCTGGAGAGGAGGAACCCTGGGGGGATATGGAGAATAATTCACTTCCAGTAGATCCTCCAGACAAAGATAGTCGAGAACTGGAGGGATCGGATGGTAATGGTTACCTCCTATTATACCCTCTTTCATCAGGATGGCAAAGGACAGAAATGACCCCAAAATTATTTTTATCAGTTTGATGTCAGACTTGTAATGTCAGGAGTGAGTGGGAGCATAAGTGGTAAAAGGAACCTCAGAATAGACGGCAGGTGACTTTGACTGTGGGGCCCAGAAGAGATCTAGCTTTGTAGGTGGTGACTGTTTGGTGAGGTGATTCAGGAGCCTCAGGCTAGCCTTTTGCCTGCCATAGTGTGAAATTCTACCACACTCACATCTGTAAGGTTTACTGTAAACTCTTAGGTAATTAGAATTGCTTCAATGTTAGGAGTACAAAGGCCTTCTGGAGACACAGGCACAAGTTGGAGGGTAGAATAGGGGGTCTACAGTATGAGGACAGAACAATTTTGGCCACCTATAGTTTTTTCTATTCCTGTAAACAGAGTGGTTGAGTGAGTAAAAAAGGGAATGTAAATACTGTGTCTAGAAGCCAAATCTATAGTGAAAGGGTGCCTTATCTTAAATTGAGACGTAGGACTGAGGCTGACAGATTTTCTAGGTTTTTTTTAATGGCTGTGACTAGTTTGAGCATACCATGACTAGATTGAGAATAGCTTTGTATAGATGATTCAGTGTCAGGTTACTGGGTAAGCTGTTCTGTTTGTGCAAAGGAAAGCAGGAATGGTCATTTCTGGGCTTTTCAAGTTATGTGTCTGCTCTTCCACAGGTTTCAAAGTTCGGTCTGTTGACACTTACCTAGGGATGTAAAGGAATAATACACTTAATGCCCCTTTAGAGAGAAGGCCTGTGCCTGTCAATATCCATGCAAAGAAGCAAGTCAGGTGCTTTCCAAGAGAGGCCTAAGAGCTGTGGGAGTTAGATGGAGATGGTGACCACCGCGAAACAAAAGGGAATACTCAGGGTGGTATTACCATTACCACAAACAGGCTCTGAACTTGGAGAGGCCATCCCAGGTTTTGAACAATGAGGGCTCAGCATTAGGAAGATTAATGAGTGTAGTCTAAGTTGAAAAAAGAGGCAGGGTGACAGGTTGGCACAGGATCTGGACAAGGCACGACGAGAAAGGGTAGATTATTGGTGAGGGGCTGTGGGAAGGCGCACAAAGGAGGAGATATGTGAGACATCCATAGAAGTGTGTAATCTGCTGGAATTTGGCAGAGATTCTGGTGGTCTCCAAGGCTTTGCACTTGAAAGATGGGCCAGTGGAAATGTTCATAATGGAACTAGGTAGCTCAGGAAAGGAAGAGCCGAAGGAGGTAGGAGTGATGACTAATGCATCCAGAGGGAGATAGGAGAGGCCTGGAAAAGAGGATGATAATGGTTACCTCCTGTCACACTTGTTGCCCTCATGATGGCAAAGGACAGACCCAGCCCAAATTATTTTTATCAGTTTGATTTCAATCTGGTAATGTTGTGAATGAGTGGCAATATAAAGTGGCAAAAAGAAAGCCAGATTAGGATGCAGATGACTGTGACTGGGACCCTGACTTGAGTAACAAGCTCTCTAATTTTGGACAAATCATAGCCCTTGGTATGCTCATGAAAAATGTGGGGGAAACAAGACTGATCGGTCAGAGGCCTCCCAGTGCCAGAATGCAGGGATTCTGAGTGTCTTGAGTGATGTACAGTTTTTTATATATAACAATTTCTCAGAAAGTTTGGAAACTGAAGGGTGCAGGTCAGGTTTTATTTTTTTCTATCTTCTTTAGTATTTTTAACATTTATTTATTTGGTGCTCTTTGGATACAAACAAAACAATACAATTTTTTTTTTTTTTTTTTTTTTTGCCCTTGGGATTATTTTCTAGGGGCCACTTTGTTACTGTAGCAGCTGAATATCTGTGTGGGTTATAAGGCACACTACATATCAACTAGGCAGCTACCATGTGCAAAGCATTGTTAGCTTTTCATATGAAATTATGTCCTAGAAGATTTTCCAATTAGAAAATAAAACAATCCTTGCTTTATGTGGTATTGCAGGATGGTAAAAATGGCCACTCGAACTGAAACTACACCACTAGTCATCTTAATAATCAATAGGGAAAATTATAGTTGTTCTGTGACTTTAGACATTTTTTATCAAAGAATCAAAAATTCACTTTTTTTTTTTTTTTTTGTGGGACCCTCACCGATGGCTGGGGATCGAACTGGCGCTGCAGAGGCTGCGGGCAGCCTCGCAACCCAGTGCTCAACCGCTGCGCCACCAGGGGAGGCCCCAAAAATTCACTATTGATTATGATTTGTATAGAGAGGGGGGAAATAAAGTAAATAGTAATTTGGCATGCTGTAACAAAAAATTAGAGACATTAAGAAAGTTTTTATGTCTTTGTAATTTATCAAGAGTGGTGTGACCAAAACATACCTTCTTTTATAATTTATGATATGGAGCAAACATTTTTTCTGTGTTAGTGAAATGTCATATTCCTTTCTAAGTCTAGATCAGCTTCTAGTATTTCATCCTTTGTACTTTTAGTGTCAAAATATTTCTGAGAGTTTAATAAGTTTTTTTTTTTTGTCTGTCTCTTCCTCCAGAACGTTGTCATCCTTTTCATCATAAACACTTTTCTTCATTTATGTTGATATGCTGGTCTTCACTAAGTGTCCCTGGCTGTGAATCTAGTCTCTAGAATGGCAACAATACCAGCATTCCCACAAACAGCTGTTTCTTCTACAACACTATTCCATTCAAATTTCACTTCTACCATTAGCTTTTGTTTTTTGTTTCTTTGCTGCTCTTTCATCTTTGTTGCTTAGTTCTGAGTATTCATTTTTATGAAATGTCATATGGGTTTTATCACTGGGAGATAAGGAAGGAGACAGCACAACTAAACACTTTGCTATCTGTGAACTGAATAGCAGATGTTAGTGACCAATCACTGACCTGAAAAAAGTAATTCGATTGGTCAATGATCATGGTGCTTCTCTATTATTTACATAGTGATTTGTGGACTGAAGTTAGCAGCAAAGTTTGTTCTTTGTGCAATTGCTCAGTTAATAACCCATGGTAACTAAAGTTTGATCATGTTGTTGGGGAACAAGCATTTAACTAAAAAACCCTGGTAAAATCTATGCATAATGGGATCATGAGAAGTTCAATGTGTTAAAATGTTGTTTCTTTCCTTTTTTAATTAGAACAGACAAAAAAAGCAAAAATAAAGCCCATGATGTTGACATAGCTTTCATGTCAAAAGTTTGATCAGTTAATATGTAAGGTAGAGTATAGGATCTGCATCCCTGGTTTCAGAAGAATACATTTAAACAAGAAAGTATACATTGTTCTGTTTGTAACTCAGATTTCTTAGGCCAGTGCATGGTGTCCTCCTCTTTGGACAGATGAAAGAGAAATTATATGGGGCTAAGTAATTTGAGTGCAGTGGAACGAACATAGATTTGAATTCACATCTGTAGATGATTCGTCTAGCTTCCCTGACTGAGTCCTTCATTTCTTTACCTGAAAAAATGGAGATACTACATCTTAGCATTGCTGTAAGGACTAAATGTAAAGAAGCCACTGCAATGCCAGGCCTGAGTTAGGTGTCCAGTAGTTTCTTTACTTCCCAAACAAGAATTTATTATTTAGATTTATGGCCCACGGTTGTTTGGCATTATTTTGTCATTTTAAAATGATAATTTAAGTAATTTTTCTCAGTAGTGTTAGTCATTTCATAGTAATAGTTATATTTGATTTTAAGGTAAAGTTAGATTTGTTGTATTTTGTTTTTAAGATTTATTTATACATACAAGAGTTGGGGTATAGGCCAAAGGTGTGTGTGTGTGGGCGCACAGAACAGGCAGATCTACTGAAATACACTGCTGAGGGGAGCGGGACAAGACAGGAGAGGTCTGCTGCGCCATGTGGGGAATCGAACTCTTGCTGCAGTGGCTGCCATAGTATTTTTTCCAGTATGAGTCATAGGGATGCCCGGATTTGTTTTGTATTTAAAGGGATAATTTAAAGGATATTTTTTGTCACTTTTAACATAATTTTGTTGGGCTTCTTTCTGCTATTTATTTTCTAAAATTATCCTGGAAAGCAAAAAAATCTTTTTATGTGAAGTTTCTTATCTGCAAATCTTCATTTGCATCGACTTGCTTCATTACCTTATCTGATAGTTTCTTAAGTTTTAGTTAATGAAGTTTTAAATGTGTTAGTTTGGTGAGTTTCACTTTTAGAAGCTTGATTTTGGTAATGCTTTTTCCAGTGTGAGTCAATCTCAGATGACAGACTAAATGACAGGCATTTTGACTTTTCGGTAATACAGGGAACTACCTCAATTAAAAAAAAGTTGGCATAAAGATTAATGCTAAGCCATCTCTGGAAATGTACACCCCTTCTGCTCTTTTTTACATGTGGCCCATTGTACATAGCATTTACTTCTTACCTTTGTAGGCCCTGTGACCCAAATTTGTCACTTTTTTTTCTTCTTTTTTTATCTTTAGCAACAGAGGAGAAGAAGTCTCTGAAGCGAACTTTTCAGCAGATACAAGAGGAGGAGGATGATGACTACCCTGGAAGCTATTCTCCCCAAGACCCTTCTGCAGGACCCCTCTTGGTATGTCGTGACTAGGAGAGTAGGGTGGAGTACCCTGGTGAAATGACCTTGAGTTGAAGATTGTGGCCACAAGGTGGTGCTGGCAACCAGTACTATGGGCTCACTAGAGGGTAGCTCTCAGGGCACCAGGTGCAAGATCTACCCAGTGAAATTTGCCAGGTAACAGGCTTGACTATCTTTGCATGTCATGACTCCAGGATGGATTTATGTTTTATAGAGTACTTGGCTTTGGCTTTTTTTCACTCCTAGAAATTAAAAATAGTCTTTAAAAGATTTTTGTTAAAGAGCAGATAATATCACAAAGACATTCAGGACCTCTGCCTGTGACTTGACTGCAATTGCTTGGTTATTTTGTTGTAAGTAAACAACTCATTAGTTTGTAAGGACAGTCTGTTCAGCAGTAGCAGATTTCATACACTGTAACCTATCTAAATTTTGAAACATTCATCTAGCATTTACTGAATTTTTAACCATGTATTTTGCATTTTTGGCCCTTCATATAAGTTAGTTAACTATGTAGTTGGCTTGTTTTATCTATTTATCAAAGAAAAATGTGGCTCAAGGAGACAGATTAACTTGTTCACTTTCTTAATTTGAATGTGGATCTAACTGACTTCAAAGACTAGGCTCATTTCAGAGTTATACTGCATGTTACTTGCCCAAAACAGCTTTACTTTGGTATACACATAGTTGTGTTTAAGGCCTGTGTAAATAACGATTTCTGATTTGTGTTCTCTTAAAATGTTCAGTTAGGCTTAGGATTAAGTAAAAGCAGTGTAAGGTTATATATCTTCACATTTAAAAACTTTAATAAGAACAGCCTGAATGATTAACTTTTGGGATCACTTGACCACCATCTGCGTTGTCAGCTACTCTTGGGTCATTATGGCCTGACTGACCTGTCAGTGTTCTGCATTTTCTGACAACTCAGAAACTCTGTATAGAGTGTGCATTTTTGGATTGTTTTTCTTGACTCCCCCCCCCCACCCCCTTTGATTGTGATTAATGAGTTTGGCACATTTAATTTGGGAGCGGTTGCCAAAATTGAAAATGTCATCTTTCTGACATTGATCTTGTAAAACAAACCCAAGAAAGAATTTTGAAGTAGGTGGTATCATTTCATTTAATCAGTCAGTACATACTTGTTAACATCTGATTTGTATGCTTTATTCTATAAAGGAGACTGTCCTTTACTAGAAATCATGCATCGTTTGAAACTAAGCAATGTGAACCAAACTCCATTTTCTTAAGTTGACAAAAACACTCTTCAAAACCAGTTTTTTAAAGAACAGTGTAGAATTTCATGCATATTTTGCCATGGACTTAGAAAACTTAACTCTGTATATTCTTTTAGAACCCATATAGTTGACTTCAGTGTAAGCCATGAGACAAGAACAATTTCTTTTTAAAAGATTTTATTTATTTATGCATACAAGAGCTGGGGTGTAGGCCAGAGATGCAGGGTGGTGAGAGGATTCACCAGAGACAGAGTTGGGAGCAGAACAGGTAGATTGACTGAAATACACTGCTGAGGGGAACGGCGGGCAAGACAGGAGAGACCTCTGCGCCATGTGGGTCAGCTCCCTGGCTGCGGAAGTGCTGCAGTGTCTGCGGATAGCTTCATAGTGCTGAGACTTAACCCCTTGCACCACCAGCGAGGCCCAAGAACAATTTTTTTTAATGTCAGGAATGATCATGTTTATAATTTGCCTCCATCCCATTTATCTCAAACTAATTTTCTTTAACCTTCATACGTTTTAAGGATGGTGCTGTATGTGTTTTCATTGTACAGACTGAGGAACTAATCAAGGCTTTGCAAGACCTGGAAAATGCTGCATCAGGGGATGCTACTGTTCGACAGAAAATTGCTTCTTTGCCCCAGGAGGTACAAGATGTTTCTCTATTGGAAAAAATAACAGGTGAGAAGGTAGAGTTTGGGTGAAAGATGAGGGAAGAGGGACGTATCTAATGCATCAAACATAGGATAGCCTGTGTCTGCAGGTGTAGACTTTCTGTGCTGTTAGATCTCCACCATCTTTAGATACGCTAACTCAATTCACATGCCGAACAATAAAGCTGCTGAAACAGTTCAGGCTTTAATAGTGATTCTAGGAATTATTGAAGAATTGTTGGCATGTCACAACCTGAGGTACTCTTAAGTAAGGTCTTTTGAAAGCAAAGTGCAAATTACTTGGGAATACCAAAGGGAGAAGGCATTAAACTTATGACCCTCTTATTTAAAAAAAAATTACATGTCAATGCTATGTGATTTATACACCGCACTGATACACCCCATAGTTGAGAGAGTGCATTCAGTGCCGGTAACTCCACTTGTGTGTTGTCAAGCCATTTTGCCTTTTTGATGATCCTCCCAATAAAGCAGGGAGGGTTATTGATATTATTTCCACCTTATACTTGGGAAATTGACAAAAGGACTGAAGTATGAACTGGTTGTTAGGGAGAGTGGTCTGTGACAAATACTACTACTCTTCATGATAATTTTTTCTTGTAAGATTTATTTATTTATACAAGAACTGAGGCACAGGCCAAAGGTGTGGGAGCATGAGAGAATTCACCAGGGACAGAGCAGGGAGCAGAACAGGCAGATGGACTGAAAACACTGCTGAGGGGAGCAGCGGGTGAGACAGGAGAGGTCTGCTCTGCCATGTGGTTATCTCCCTGGCCAGCCAGGAATCGAACCCACACTGCAGAGGCTGTGGACAGTTTCACAGCGCTGCCCTCAACCCGCAACTGGGGAGGCCCTCTTCATGATAATCTTTTGAAATGGCTGTCTCTATATCCCCAGATTGCATTGGAGGCAATTGAGAGGTTAGGTGTGCCTCTCAAAGTCACACAAGCAGTGGTCTTGGATTTCAGCCTGGGCTGCAAATCCTGTGTTCTTTCCATGACAAAAAAGTCAGATTTCCTTCTAGTCCCTTCCCTTGGCTGCTTCACTAACTTCCTCCATATTCTTCTACAGGAAATCAAGGTCGCTCATGAAGTATTTCCTTTATTTGGCAAATATTTGAGGCCGCCATGTAGCAATGTTCTCTGTGTCCCATGCATACCCCCTCAGGGGTTTGTGCTAGAAAGAAAAATAAAACAGAGGTGTGGCGGATGGAAATGATTGAAGAAGATACTATTTTAAAGGTCGTCAGGAAAGACCTTTCTGATGAGATGATTTTTGATCGGAGATAACCCAAATTAGGAAACTATCCATGAGGGAAAGAAGTGCCACCCAGGCAGGGGTGTGCTTGTTTGGCCAGCACAACACCAAGGCCTCCTGAAATGTGCAAGCAGCGTTTGCACTCATTCCCTCGACTCCCCAGGCGTGGTGGCGCACACGTCTCACCGTCTGTAGAACATTGCGCCCTTGCCTGCCTTTGCTCCACGTGCCCTCACTTTCTTATTTACTTGGCTTAGAGGTTTGAGAGTCACGCTCTCACTTAGCCCCTCAATCCGTTTTCCTCTCTTGCCCTGTGACTCTAGTTTCCTGGCAAAGATCCCACTGCTTCCAATTTTTGGAAGCAAATTAATATAAAACTAGCAATGTAGATTATTTTATGTTTCATATAGCTTTTCAAAACTAAGTTTTATTAATATTTTTGATTTTAAAATATACCTAACAAAGTTTACTATCTTAACCCCTTGGAAGCACACAGTTCACAGTATCACATTCAGTCAGTTCCAGGTCTCATCTCACCATGCAGAACTGAAGCTCTTCACCCATTAAAGAAAAATTCATTTCCTTCTCCCCGCAGCCCTGGCAACCAGCGTTCTTAAATCCATCTTTCATCTATTCCTTGGCTGTATATGCTCAGCTGTGGTGACTGGGAAAAACAAGCACAAGTGGGTGGACACGCCTTCCTATTTCTGTGGGTGAACTTACTGTTTTTTTAAACCAGTCCCTCTACGTTGTTCAGGCCTGTTCCTTCTCACTAGTCAAGAACTTCACTCCAACACTTCTTTTTGTCTTGCGTTTTCTTTTTTCCCACTCTGTGCTTCTCAACAGCATAGTAACTTGTATTTTTCTCCCACATAGAAGTTTTATTTCTTGACTCCTGTCTTTATCTATTGTTTCATTTCTTAGTTCTTTTTTTTTAAATCGTTTTTAAAAGTGTTTTTTTTCTTTTTGGGACTTTATGAAGATTTATTTTTGAGAGCTAGCAAGATGGACTAACACCTAGCGTCCGGTTTTCTTTCTCCTCTACCTCCCCATTACTTATATCTCTTTTTCCCTGGTTTTCTATTCTTCATAGTAAACCATTCTAAATGGATTATCTAGTCTCATCTGTCTCCTTTTCCCCTCCTTCCACTCTTGTTTCCACTTTACTAAAGCTGCTCTTTTCATTATTATTGATGACTTTCGTGGTGATTTTTTTGCCTAATTTTAAGTTGAGGTCATCTTAAATTTCTTCATGGAAATACTTTCCCATTTGGTGTGGTGTACAGAATAATACCATCTCCGCACCCCTAAAAGAAAATGCTCAAGTCCTAATCCCCAGAGCCTGTGAATGTGCTGTCTTACATGGCAGAAGAAACTTTGCAATCCTGAGATGGGGAGGATTATCCTGGATTATTCAGGTGGTTCCACTATAATCACAGTGTTCTTGTAAGAGGGAGGTAGGAAGGAAAGTCAGAGGAGATAGGAAGCAAAAGTAGGAGTGGTATATTTTGAAGTTGGAGAAAGGGGCCATGATAATAAATATTAAGATAATGCATTGTATTGTTTTAAGCCTCTACGTTTGCAATGATTTGTTAGAGCAGCACGAGGAAATCTGACCCATATTTCCCTAGCTTTTGGTCCTATCTTTTCGGTCTCCTTTGCTGGTTTCTTCACTTCTCCTTTACCTCTTAATGTTGAATAGTAACCCTCTTCTCTAGCTAGTTTCACTGGCTGTTCTTACCCAATTTGATGACTTAACAATTTTTATGCTAGTGATCCTTAATTTACACCTCTAGTTGACCTCTGCCTTGAACTTGAGACCTGTATGTGTAACTTCCTGGTCAGTGCTCCTAGTTGGTTGTTTCCAAAGACATTTTAGATTCCCTGTCCCATCTCCTCGTGTTCCCTACAAAGCTCATTTCTCTCGTGGTTTTCTCCATCTCAGTAAATGACCCTTCATCGTTTCTGTTGGTCAGTACCAAAACCAATATCTTGTCACAAACTTCTCTTGGATGATTGCGGTAGACTCCTCCCTGGTCTCCATGCATCCTCCTGTCCTCCAGCCCCATTCTGTTCCCCACGTAACCAGAGCGATCTGTTAAAGTAGAGGTTGGGGACCTCCCCGGTGGCGCAGTGGTTGAGCGCTGGGTTGCGAAGCTGCCCGCAGCCTCTGCAGCACCAGTTCAATCCCTGGCTGCTCCCCGGCCACCGGAGGAGGGTCCCGCATGGCGCGCAGACCTCTCCTGCCGCCCGCTGCTCCCCTCAGCAGTGTACTTTGGTCCTTCTGCCTGCTCTGCTCCCCGTTCTGGCTCTGGTGAATTCTCTCACCCTCCCGTGCTTCTGACTGTACCCAGTGCTTGTATAAATAAATAAATAAAAATAAATCTTAAAAAAAAATAAAATAAAGTAGAGGTTGGATCCTGCCTCCCTGTGCTCAGAGCAGTCCCAGGCACATGGCCTCCTTGTCTGGCTCTCCCCTCCTAGGGCCCTCTACCTGGTCGTGCCATAGCTTTATGTCTGTTGTTCCTCTAAAAATATTTCAAAAAATAATCTCCAGAGAGTTAAATGGCTTATTCTCACTTCCTTCAGGCCTTGGTTTACATTTCATTTTATTGATGCCTACCGTGACTATCTTAGTTAAAATCACTTTGTTCTCTCCAAGTGCCTCGTTCTTTCTCCACTGCCATATTTTTCTTTACACTTTTTACTTTCAGCTAATAGATAACTAAAATGTAAACTTCTTGGGACTAGGAAGTTCTTGTCCTTCATGTCCCTGCTGGTTCTGAGAGTCTAGAATATTGCTGGACACTCAGTAGGAGTTCACGTATTGTTACATATAAGTGGAAGGCGTGGGTGTGAAAGTCTGATTGGAGTGGGTTTAGTGGCCAGGTTGGAGAGGTGGGTTCCAGAGTATAGACGGCTCAAGTGGAGGAGGGAATAGGGCAGTAGTGGGAGAGTAAAGTGTGCCCCAAGATAGGGCAAGAGAAATTGATGAGACGTGGGGAAGACAGAGGACAATCAAAAAACAGATGCATGTTGTAAACAAGAGAATGGGATGTCTGTGCCTAAGTGGAGGCTGAAAAGAGGCCCACAGCCAGCAGTCTATGTGATTGGGGGGCACAGCGCCTGAAGACTGCCATAGGGAAGCTCTGAATCAAGCATCTTGTGGCTGCGTTTTGACTGCATTTTTTCTGTAGCTTGTAAAACTATTACAGGTTATTTTTCTGGATTTTAATTTGTGTGAGTATATTACCTCCATTGTACAAGTTCTTAGAGGGTGAAAATTGTTTTTTTTAAAAATTCTGAAAAGCTAGTGTCTTCCTTTTTTTTGTCATAGGCACTCAGACATCTTAATGAATTAACTTTGAGATCATACAGTCAAGCAGTGACAAAGCTAAAACCAACATAACCACCCCAACAGCTTGTTTACAGACTGTACCAACAATCTAAAAACATAAGCTTTGCGGGTCGGCTTTACCCGCTGTGACTGCCATGTCTCTTTCCTTTGTGTTCTGTTCTACCCACTTTTTCTTCAAGAACATCCCTTTGTTTCCCTATCCCTGAGGAGAATGGAAGCAACAGACCTAATTTGCATCCATCAACAGTTCATCTTCTGGTATTCATATTAAGAAGGTACCTAAAAGCCAGACAGACTGTTTACCAAACAGGAACAGTTGGGAATTCTTAAATCCTAATTTTCTGTGAGAATGCTGAGCTCTCTCACCTGAGAACCTGTATTCATGCCTTGGAGCTAGAGTCATTCTCTCTGGTGCTCTTTGTTTCAAAGCACCCATCTACTCTTTTGATCCTTAAAGGCCTTTTAAGAATGAGGTGTATGTAATTAAAGTTCTAACCCTACTACCACCCACATGGAATTAATGATACCATTTCTTATAAGCATCCTTTGGTTTTACTCTCGCATTTCTTAATGTTGAGGCTTGTTCACCATATCTTTCCAGCAATATTCTTTCTTAAACTTTTGAGTTTTTTGCACAGCTTTTTTCCAAACAATGAGTTGCAGCCCAATAATTGAACATGAAAGCAGTCTGGTAGGTGATGACCAACTTTAAAGAAAATGAAATAGAGATAGAACACTTTGCACATAGTAAGGATAAATATGTTTCATAAAACTTACTTTCATTTTTATATTATGCACATAAATTATTATTTTTTTTAAATAATAAATTTTATTTTTATATTCCCCCATACAATTGCAAACCCCCCCATTCTGACCCCAATCCCTCCCCTCCCGCCCCCACCCCCCAAAAAGTGTCTCTGGTTCATAGTTTTTTGTTGATTTTGATTTTCACTTTCTTATAGTTATTCATTTTCCTGGTCCCTTATTTAAGTTTTCTAGATTCCTGCTATGAGTGAGACCATCCGGTATTTTTCTTTTTCTTTTTGGCTTATTTCGCTGAGCATGATCCCTTCCAGCGCCATCCATGTTGCTGCAAATTGCATGTGTTTATCTTTTTTGAATGCTGAGTAATATTCCATGGTATATATGTACCACATCTTCTTGATCCAGTCATCTATTTTTGGGCATTTGGGCTGTTTCCAAAGCTTAGCTATTGTAAATAGATGCACATAAATTATTATTTCTTAGTGTGGGTCAGGTTCAAAATCATTTGAAAGCCTCTTTCATACCAGACCCTACATACCAGACCCTACAACCTGGGAAGAAGAAAGCTCACACCCAAGTTCAAGGCTTAACATAGATAAAGAAGTAGAGTTAATAGGTTCACGTTTAATACCTGGATTTGAGTCCCAACTCCTTAGCTAACCACATACTGTACTTGTTGTATACTTTTTTTCTGTTTTCACTTCTGCTACCAAGAAATGTGTGCTTGCCTTTATATTTCAGAGGAATGTGCAAAGGAACAATATGAACAAAAGCATTTTTGAAATTCTTGTTGAGGAGAAATTACTTCATGACCTTAAATATCTCTATTTATAGAGCTTTTGTAGGAATAGGATTAAGTAATACTTTGCCCAAGTCCCTTCCTTGTACTGTTGCCTTCAGGTAATTCAGAAATGTCCTGTCTTGTTGACAGGCCTGGGCATCTTTGGAATTATCAGTCAGCCAGTCCATTGTATGGCCACAGGTTCTGACTTATTCCTGGACTCTGTGTGTTAGGAGAGAAACTGTTGATCCACCTCTCTGAAATTTTTGCAGTCATTCCTATATGATTTGTATATTGGTTTTTTTTCTCCCCATCTCATTTGTATTTAGACAAAGAGGCAGCTGAACGGCTTTCAAAAACAGTCGATGAAGCATGTCTGTTACTAGCAGAATATAACGGGCGCCTGGCTGCAGAACTGGAAGACCGGCGCCAGCTGGCTCGGATGTTGGTGGAATACACCCAGAACCAGAAGGATGTTTTGTCAGAAAAGGAGAAAAAGCTAGAAGTGAGTACATTGCAAGGTAGACCCAGATTTCCCAAATTTCCCTTTTCTGTAACCCACATACAGAGGTTTTTGTTATACCTTAATTATGTTTTTGTTTTTGAAACATGCATGAGATGAGAACATCCATCAATTAATAAAACAGTTTTAACCTGGTTGACAGTTGAGGTCATGTTTCTATATGTACAAGAAGAAAAATTGGAAAGCAAGAAACAAAGAACAAACTCTTACAGCAATTAGGATAATAATATAGCTTCAGTTTGAACTCACATTAAAAAAAAATTATAGATCGAGCTACAAAAAGAACTAGAGGTTAGTAAATAATTGGTAGTACCTGGGAATGCTTAAAAATTTCTTCCTCAGGTTATATTGAGATTTATTTCTGACATATATCAGTATATGCTTGCTAAGGCCAATAAGTAGTCTGCCTTAACTCTGTCTACAGTCAGTTGTAAAATTTCACAGTAATTTTTGTGGAGGCTGGTTCTTAAACTTCTGAGAAGAAACTAATTTCTACTCTGAGTTGACATTGGTCTCTGAGTGCCTTTGGGGAGGAGCTGTGGCTTCTTAATTAAGTACATGGTAGCTTAACATCATTGCCAAGTCCCTTGGGGTAACAGAGCCAGGGATTTGGACATTTGAGGAACTACTGCTTGCCCTAAACTGCTAGGCTGCTTTCTGAGAGTAACTGCCCTTCTTTTTTTTTTTTTAAGGGGGCATGGAGAAGAGTTGCATCAGTGGTTTGGGGGAGAAGGAGTTTTGAGTTGGAGAACCAGTCACATATTAAAAGTAGTACCAGAGTAGATGAGGAGTTGGTGATACAACCCTTGCCCTTCCCCCCACATCCCAGCATACACACACAACACACATTCTCTGGCACAGAGGGAGGAAAAATTGAGCTAGCCCTCTGGCTGATAGTCATCTGACACCATGGGGGAATGAGTGATAGACACTTTTTATCGTATCCTTAACCTGCAGTGACCATGGGAGCTATGATGAGTAGTGGGAGGTGGGAACTTCATATTCATACTTAACCAGCTTGAAAGTGGAAACTGGGAAATGGCCGTAAAAATAGTGTGGCTTAGATTTAGAAATCAACACTGACCAGAAATCCTAAAGGGAGTTTCACAGGCAGTACCAGACGGTCATTTATCTGAAATGCTCATCTTTCACTGAGGAAGCATTTTCAGCACCGTGCCCCGGGACTAATAAGAGAGTGTAATTAATGATTCTAGTTGTAAGTCACCATGCCATCTGTTGAACTGCCCCTTGGCGACACATTAAGGGCTTTCTCTGATCTGTCAGACATTGATTATCATGAGCAGCTGTTGGGGGGATGTGGCAAGCTACCATAGAGGACAGTCTTTCAGAAGGAGATGGTGTTGGTAGGGGAGATTAACTCTTTGTTCGTTCTCTTCCTCGAAGTTGTTTTCCTCCCTGTATTTCTTGGGGAGTCATTCTGGTTTGTTTCTTTCATTCTTGCAGAGCAACTAGTGGTTGCCGGATACACGAGTGGCCATTAAGGCTGAGAGATGGATCAGAGATTTGGGTCTGTTCTGTAAATTTCCAGCCCAGATTCCTCCATTCATCTGGGTATTGGTGTAACAATACTTAAAAAATCAGAACAGGGAGGTCCTACCAGTGGAAAGTGTAGATTTCTGAACTAAGTATCTTATCCCAAATCATGAGTCTCGGCCGTTTGAACAAAACCATTATAAAAATGGAGTTCAATTTGCTGCATTAAAAAAAAAAAACCATAAAACTAGATACAACACAAGATGTTGAGAGATGACTATTTATCCATGTTTACTATAAATGTGAACAACCTGCTTTCTAGAATCTTAAGATTTTTCTCTCACATCCCATAATAGACTGGTTTTATCCTGTGGTATCTTTAGGTAAAACTTGCTAAATAAGTAAATAGTGCCAGTTGAAAGGTGCATTATTACTATGAATTCTTTCAAATTCTCCAAAAGCATATTGATGAGTATAGTACATAAAATATGCCTCCCTTTCTATCATTTGTTTTCATAACACTGCCAGTCCTTCTTCTAAAATTGCCACATCAGAAGGCTAGTGAAATCTGCTTTCATTTTATAATCCCTATATTGTAATCAGTGTGTAAGTATGTGGAATCCTTAGACCTCTGGAAATGAGAGTCTCTTTTCTTCCCAAAGTTCTGATTTCTGACACATTACTTCTTTTAAGTTTATTGCTTTCTTTATGTAATAAACATACCCTTTTTATTCTCTCGAGAATTTTATCATTGTTTTCTCAGTGGCTTCTATACTTTGGAATAAAGAGTGTGATGATATAGAGCCTAGGAAGATTTGAACCCTGGGATATGGGGGGAATTACAGCTTACAGAAAGAGAGTGTTTTGACTTCAGGGAAGCCATATTATGGCATAAATAGCATAAGTGACATAAAGCCAAACTAGGTAATGGTACTCATGTAGATTAAGGAGACCGTTAACATTCTGATTGTAGTTTAAGGTTAAGCTCAAATGTCTGGAAAGATGATAAAATGTTTTTATAAAAGAAAATAGAAATTGAAGAAGAGAAATGATGTTTATATATGAAGAAAAGCAAAAGGAAAAATGTGAGAGGGAGGTCCCAGCTCCCACTCTTGGGACTTAGGCTCCATACTCTTTGGGAGCTGCTTATTCATTCATGGGCAGTCAACAAACTCATGTGCATAGGGAGATGTACAAAGATGAGCAAGATGTGCTCTCTCTGTAGACACTCACACTCTTGGAGGGGGGTAAGAAGCAGCAGTGAGCAAGGAGTTGAAATATAATGTGAGAAATGTTATTATGTAAATAAGGAAAATACCCTAATTCATTGTCTTTCTTGAACTAGACCAAGAAAAAAAAATAACATGTTAGTGACAACATATTAAATTGACCAGAAGCTTATTTAACATATAAGAGAATTATCAAACATGGATGGGCAGTTTTTGAAAACCATAATGCCTCAGCTAGACTATCTACTGTTTGCTCCTTCAGCATAATTGTTCCTCAGTAAATATTCTGTGATTGAAATCTATCACTTGATGTAATCATTTTCTTTACTGTAAAGAAGAGTTTGTTTTGGGTTGCCTTAAAAAGTGGTTTAGGAAATCTTTTAATTTTTTCAAAAGCAAAAAGACTGTATTAGTTTAAAAGAAAAAGGTAAATATTTGATAGTAACACGTATGATTTTTTCCTTTGGGCTACTTTTCCTTTTAGTAGAATCACCGTTCACTTTGAGACTTTTTTCCTCCTGCTTTTGTTTATGTTACGGTTTACATTGGCTTACCACTTTTCCCTTAAACTCCAGAAAGGATTGGAAGGAGAGCTGCTTAAAGTCTTTGTGATGCTTTGTCGTGAACATGAAAAAACCTAGAAACGGGAAAAGGACATGTAGAAGGATGTACAAATGCAGCCCAGAGTTAAGGTTAAGGAATGTGACGAATATAGAAAGTTAATTCAAGAAGGTAAAGACCAGAGGTACCAGAAAATCCTCTAAATTTCAGTTCTTAGAACACAGGGAATGTCATATTTGGTTATCTTATTTGGTTGACTTACCTCATGTGGCTTGCTAGAAGCACACAAGCCATAGTCAGAATTTGGATAAAGCATAATGTAGGTATGTTCCATCTGAGTGATCAGGACATGCGATAGAGAGGTAGGAGAGTCTGTCTGTGTGAGCATTGAAGGAAAAAAAAGAACCAGGTACCTGCAGTTTTACCACCACACCATTTCAGTTCACATCATGGTGTTTGGCAGTGATCTAGAAGTAAAAGGAAATAGCTCTGTGTGTGATCTATATGCCACTGGGAACTTGCACGGATTATAGGCCACACCAGGAAGAATTCTGGCGGAAATGTTTGCCTGTCTGCAGATTTTTTTTTTTAATGTTTATAGAACATTAACCATTTTAAAGTTTATGTATTTCAGTAGCATTCAAGTATATTCAAAGTATCTTGCAATCATCATTTATATCAGATTCTGAAGCTTTTTGCATTTCCTCACACTAAAAGAATACCATGTGCCTGTTAATCAGTTGTTCCTTACATCCTGTTCCTCCCAACCCCAGCAACCACCAACTGGCTTTCTGTCTGTATGGATTCGCCTACACTCATTATTTCATGGAATTGTTTCCGACTTCTTTCACTTAACATAATGGTTTTTTGAGGTTCATCTGCATTGTTGCATCAGTACTTCATTTTTATGACTGAATTGCCATTGTATGGGTTACAACTCTTCATTCGTTGATAGACATTTTGGTGGTTTCCATCTTTTGGATGTTACGAATAATGCTGCTGTAATTGCCTGTGTACAAGTTTTTCTCTTGAGTTTGTTATACCTAAGAGGGGAATAGCTGGTCATATGGTAATTCTAAGTTTAACTTTTTGAGGAACTACCAACTGTTTCCTTCAACAGCTACACTATTTTACTTTTCCACCATAATATTTCACCACATCTTTACCAGCACATTATTATTTGTCTTTTTTTTTTTTTAAATTCTAATCATCCTAGTGGATGTGAGGTGGTATCTCATGGTTTTGATTTACATTTCCTTGGTGTCTAGTGATGTTAAGCATCTCTGCATGTGCCTGTTGGCCTTTTGATTTTTTTTTTAAGAGCTTTATTTTTTTTCATTGAAGAACTGGGGTGTAGGCCAGAGGTACAGCAGTGAGGGGCAGGATGGTGAGAGGATTCACCAGAGACAGAGTGGGGAGCAGAACAGGCAGATTTACTGAAATATACAGCTAAGGAGAACAGTGAGTGAGACAGGAGAGGTCGGCTGTGCCATTTTTGGATTAGCTCCCCACACATGCCATAGTTCCAGGAATGGAACTCAGGCCATAGTGGTAATAGTGCTGAGACTTAATCCCTAGGCCACCAGGGGAGCTCCTATTGGCCATTTGTATATCTTTTTTTGAGGATTTTTTTTTTTAATTCCTTTTGGTCTTTTTGAATTGGATTGTTTGTTTTTGTTGTTGAATTGTAAAACTTAC